TGAATGAGGGTTGAGCAGCAGATCGGATTCTAATCCAGTAAATATCACAGGCTGGCGTTGACATCGTGAGTTGATTATGGTCTGGATAAGTTAATTAATGTCTAATTAATAATTTAGATAACATTTCAGACCTAAAGAAAGACCTGATATAGGCAAGTTTAGCTCTTTCATAAGGTATGTTTAAATAACGAGACAATATAAGGGGTTAAATTTAATAACCCAGCCTCTGATAGTTCCGTACTGGAGACTGGTGTCCGTGATAGCGATTACGTCTAATTAATAGTTTATATAACATTCAATTGGCAGATTTAGTTCTTACATAATGTCTGTTTAACTGGTATATCTGTGTCTAAGAGCCTAGAGAATATTACCAGAAAAACCCAGTGCCATAATGCTCGTATGTTTAACTTTGATTCTGTAACCATTGTCAGTAATCTAACCAAACAGGTGAATATGATACCCCACGGCTCTAATCTAGTTAATTAATTATCATGTACTCAAGGCTTGGCTATGTACTCGATCACAGGGAGGTGTTTAACACGACTTACTGAGTATTATTATAATCCTCTGGCTAATCAGACGGTGGTCTAATATCAGTGTTATCTCCGTTACTAAGCACCAAATATAATACAGTAATTTAAAAATAGATTTACTTCTGTTACTAGGCAAACAGATGTAATATGATAATAATGGTAATTTGTGAACAATGTGTTATGTTTTGTATTATCCCTTCCTCGATCTCTTAACGAGCCCATCCCTTAATTCTAACGTTACCTGTTGCCTTTTTACAATTCAGGTAAAGCAAGGGCTGTTATGTGTGTGAGCTAGTTGTATTTTACGTCCGCTTCCACCGAGGTGATATAGCGGACAAGAAGGACTGTTTTTTCATGGTGCATATTTATACCAATTTCTTAGCTTATGTAATCTGTACAACAGAAATCACTGACAGAATTCCAACCTGATTACTTCTCAAACCCCTCCAGCAAATATCATCACTCTACTCCTTAGTCGTCCGGATGGGACGAAAATCCAAGGTCCCGTGCACACATTGGCAGTTGTAATTCCATATAAGAGTATGCCATAGCGCCGTTTTTTCCAATCTGATTAAAATATAGATCTATATTTCGTTTCGTTTTTTATACTTTCGATGGCCTACACTACATGAAGATCTGACAAGTTATAGTGGGAGTTCACGTCAAGGGTCAAACGAGCGGCTTTTGACCCTATGACGTCAGACATTGATTAATCAATCAGCGTTGACGTGTCTAGTGGTTTACCCACAGTTCCGTGCATAAAAAGGCCAAGAACTCGCCGTAACAGACCGTTTCACATCAAGTAGAACGCCGGTTATATAACAACTCTTCTAGATCCTAGTGTAGTAAAGACAAGTAAAACGAAATTTTGAACTATAAAAATACGAAACGAAATAGGATCTTTGTTTTAATCAGATTGCCGTTTTCCTGGACAGTAGTGCCGCTGTCCACGCACAATTTCCCTCATAGCACACTGTATGGAGTACGCCCGACTTCATTAGCCCAGTCGGAGCAGAACAGTAGGACGTTAAACCCCATTTCATTTCATTTCATTTATGTGAACGTCATCATGTATACAACAGAACGTTAAACCCCATTCCATTTCCATCATAAGGTCTGTCATTGAGTCAACTGGCGTGGATTCGATTCCCCGGTTCTACGTGACAAGGAATAGGGTCGGCTGTCCAACCTCGTGGGATTTCTCTGGGCCCTCCGGTTTCCATCCACTGCTAAAGACACCTACGCTCAAGCGAATTATTGATATAAAATTGAACCATATGTTAGTCCCGAATGACCTGGTTTGTGTCTAGTGGAGGTTAAACTCTCTCTCTCTCTCTCTCTACCCAAAAGGTTAAACCCCATTTCCTTTCAGCCCTACCCCAGCTTCCCCCGCCCCTTCCCAAAACAACACTTCTACATTCTGCTCAAATAAAAGTACATTATATATTTAGACCCCGTATCCATTAGCCCACTAAGATTATAACAGAAGCATGTTAAATTTCATTTCATTTCATTTATATATAAGACCGACTGAACTTACGTTCATGTCATGTCACCTGCTGAGATGTTGACAGTTTTATCTGTCAGTGACACGAGGCACAATGACACCAAGTAACACACATTCAACATACACACCGTAATATACACTAAAATATTATATACACATAATTAGTCTGTCAATCAGGATAAAACCTCATGATAGCACACTTGGGATTCAACTAACTCATCTTCGCACAACCCGGATTCTACGTGTATGATGTTGATCAGAATCTGACTCTATCTATCATGATAAACTCATCTTCGTACAACCAGGTTCCTACGTGTATAATGTAGACCAGACTATGTATATCTTGATAAACTCATCTTCGTATAACCAGGATTCTACGTGTATGATATAGACTAGAGTATGTCTATCTTGATAAACTCATCTTCGCACAACCTGGAATCCACGTGCATGATGTAGACCAGACCATGTCTATATAAACTCATCTTCGTATAACCAGGTATCTGGTCTACATCATACGCGTAGATGCATCAATACTTCCACCCAGACGACCATAAGAAAGGGGAGATTTTTGTGTCTCGATCATCGGAAAATAATTATACCAAGTGGAGTGTTTATAGTACATATATTCTTTAATAACCAGTACAGGACATAGTTCATAGGTCATAGGTCATATACCAAACCATTGTTAGCTAGCTCTGTATAGAGGAATCAGTCATGGGGTTAGGTCTATTTGTTAAGGCCAACTTCAAATTTGGTCAAAGGTCACGAGATGTAAACAGGGTTAGCGCTAATCCCAACACTACCCCTAACTCTGGACCTAGCCCCAATGCTTACCCTAAAATAATAATAATATGTATATTTATATCACGCACAGTTCCATGCTAGTATGCATGCTCAAGGCGCTACACAGACTGGGTGCCATAATAGGCCGTAAATAGATGAGTTTTTAAGTTAGTTTTGAATGTTTCTAGGCTGGGTGACAGTTTAATGTTTAGTGGTAATGAATTCCACAAAACAGGCACAATATGAAGACACGATCTATATCCAAATGATTTGAGTTTATATTTTGGGATTATAAGAAGATGTTCCTGTTGAGAACGGAGTGGACGTCTTGGAAAGTATGGTAATAACAGATCTTCTAGATAGGAAGGTCCAGTTCCATGTAAACACTTATACGCAAGGCACAAGAGCTTAAAATCTATTCTTGATTTAATTGGCAGCCAATGTAGTTCTTTGAGTGCGGGTGTAATGTGCGAGTTCCTGTCTAATCGACTGATGATTCGAGCTGCAGTGTTTTGAACAGTTTGGAGTTTTGATATCAGTTTGTGAGGTATTCCAGATAACAAGCTATTACCCTAACCTTAACCTACAATCTCGCCAACAATCGCGTGTCCTTAACCTTATTTACATCCCAGCGACCTTGACAAAAATTGAGCTGGCCTTAACAAATAGATTTAGCCCAGTCATGGATGACCAGTACAGTTCAAAGGTCACATACGAAACTATCGTTAACCATATATAGCTAGCTATGTTGACTGTCATATTAAAGATACATTATGGGAGATTAGATAAAGAGCTGGCAGTTATCACTATAATAGTTAAAAACTAGATAATGTAAAGGGAATTCGCTGAAAATTAAAGACATTATGGGAGATAGGATAAGAAGCTGGCAGTTCTCACTATGAAAGTTAAAAACTGGATAATGTAAAGGGAATTTGCTGAAAATTTCAGTCAAATTGATTCACTCTGAACCGAGAATTTAGCGATTGAATTCTGGGCCATAGCCTTGATCATCATTACTAAAGTCGGAACGATAAAATACATAGTTTCGATTATCCATTTCTTCATTTAATTATGAATGGGCGTAGAGCAGCAGATCGGATTCAAATCCAGTAAACATCGCAGGCTAGCGATGATATTGAGAGTTGATTATGGTCTTGTTTTGTTTATAAATGTCTAATTAATAGTCTATATAATATGCCATGCCTACAAAAAGACCTGTAATAGGCAGATTTAGCTCTTGAATAATGTATGTTTAGCTGAAATATCTGAGCCTAGAGAATATTACCAGACCAGAACAACACAGTGCCATAATGGTCATATATGTATTTGTATTTCAAATAACTTGGTACTAGACTTTAGTCATAGATATAACCTTTTGCACAGTGAATAAATAAAATAAAATTATATAGCGCTGAAAATTCATTCCGTTTGTTTGCTCTGTAGAAGTAGATGTGGGTGGTTTTGTTGGGGTTTTGTTTGACAAGCATACCCCATGAGTGCTTAAGGTTTTTGGACAAGCATATCTCATGCTTGTATAACCATATACGGTTTTATCGAACATTTCCAGGCATGGACGGCTTATTGGAGTAGGCTATGGCCTAAATTATGGGTTTGAAGCTAGACTTATCCTAATACACATTTAAATAGGCCTATGTAAAAAAGAAAAACACATAAAAAACAAATATGGAAAATGACAATCTGATTAAAACACAGATCCTATTTCGTTTCGTTTTTTGTAATTCAAAGTTCCGTTTTACTTGTCTTTACTACACTATGATCTGGAAGAGTTGTTATATAACCAGCGTTTTGGTTGAAGTGAGGGATTAGCCAATGAAACTGTCTGTTACGGCGAGTTTTTGGCGTGCGATGCACGGAACTTTGGGTAAACAACTAGAAACGTCAACGCTGATTGATTAATCAATGACTGGCGTCATATGGTCAAAAGCCGCTCGTACGACCCTGACGCGACCTCCCAGTACAACTGGTCAGATCTTCATGTAGTGTAGGCCATCGAAAGTACAAAAAAATGAAACGAAATATAGATCTGTATTTTTTAAAAATCAGATTGGGAAAACGATCACTAGCATGTATAAATATAACACGACGTTTCGACAAGTATCCGGTTTTCGTTTTCAACTACAAAAGATGTAAAGTCGGTAAAAATGAAAATGGCTTACCTATGGTTGATACGACGGTTCCAACAAAATAAAAAGATCCAGGCCAATCCCATCGATCTCTTCGATTACCCACATACCCTGCTGCTTCCGCTTTACTGTGTAACGCCAACAAGGCATCTAGGTCGGAGTCGTTGATTTGCGGATATTTCGTTTTGAACGCAGTCAGAGTCTCGTTATAATCTTCCTTCTCTTTAACCTCGTTATCACGTTCTAAAAACATAAAAACCGTAGCGCCGGCCGCCATATATATCACCATGACGACGGCGAGAAGTATGAACCTGGCGTTATCTTCACGTAGATGTATAATGGTACAGCAGCCTCGCCTTCTAGGTCGGGTCATACCGCCCTAATAACTAGCACATTCAACCCCTCCCCTCCATTCAATACACATTCAGTCACAGCAGCAGCATCTCCTTTAGATTTCAGCTGATAGGCCTATATTGTTGATCTCACAGTTTTGCACAGTTAGGCCTACAGAATTGGCTTTGAAAATGTCAAGCGGTTAGGCCTAAGATGCTGCAAAATTTTATAGTCTGCACAACGTCACCTAACTTTATGCCCGATCCTAACTAGGCCTACTGCAAACTTTTATAGGCCTACCCACGGCTTTTGATAAATTCTTTTCTTTTTGTAAAAACTTGTGAAGAATAGTAGAGAAAACTAGGCCTTGACTAACCAAGACCTCATTAACAGGTGTCCAGAATACAAATATTTTATGACCTTTGCATAGTCGCACTGTCCCGAAAATAATATCTCCTGACCCCCAACAAGGTCGCACGGTTAGGTCCAATGTAAACTTTTCACTAGGTCCTTGCTATATGAATTGGAGGTTTCTAAGACGGAATTTGTCTTGAGCTGCCCGATTTATCCTATTATAAAAGATTCCGTAAAGTCTAATAACTCAGGATGATCAATTTAACACCCACTTGGAAAATCTCGACAATTCCTGACTTAAACTTCATACAAGAGAGGTAAAAAAACACAAATTTGGCCGCTTATTTACAAGTAACATCATGCGTCCAAATTAATGGGTTAGGGTTTCCTCAAATTAATGTTCATGGATGACGAAGAGGTCACTGCTTCTCAGGTGATAGGTTTCTGGACACTGCTGCTCGGACTATATGTTTCTGGATACTGCGTTAGACTGACAATGGTGATCGGTTGGTGAGTTATTTCTGTTTGGCCCTAAAATATAGAAAGGTAAAATGTAAAAAAAATCAACCATTGTGGAAAAGTTTGGTACATTGCTATCTAATTTACACGCTAAAATAGTTAACTTTCTCTGTTCATTCCTAAACGACAAAATAATTTTTTTAAAAATGTGCAGAATGAGCTAAGCAAGCGCAAATGACCGTCGTTAAATTTGGATTGTTCACGTATTCCACCGAATATAATTGATTGGAAATAACAATAATAATAAAAAGAAAATGATGCCCGGGCTGTCTCTCCCTCTGCCCCACCCTAGACTCTGATCTTCCTGTATAATTTGTCGCAGTCCACTGACTATTGATGCCTGGGCCGCCTCCCTCCCCCTCTGGTCGTTCTGTATATTTTTTCCACTGACTATTCATGCCTGGGCCGCCCCCACCGCCCCGACCTCTAGTCGTCCTGTATAATTCGTCGGAATCCACTGATTATTGATGCCCGGGCCACATCCACCTCTGCCCCACCTTAGACTCTGGTCGTTCCATATAATTGATGCCTCGGCCGCCTCTCTCTCTCTCTGTGCCCGAACCTAGACCCTGGTGGTCCTGTATTATTAATGCAGGGGCCACTTCCCCCTCTGCCCCACCCTAGATTCTGGTCGTCCTGTATAACTGGTCTGAGTCCACTGTCTATTGATGCATGGGCCGCCCCACCCTAGACCCTGGTCGTCCTGTATAATTGGTCTGACACCAGTGACTATTAACGCGGGAAGGCGATTAGTCTATCTATAAAGCTGGTTATGGTTGCGACTAGTATATTAATATACCACTAATCCGGATGCCTTTAAATCCTGGCCAATAACAATCTCCACTGTTACATCTATTCAGGATACAAATCGATATTTTAATAAATATGTTTGTCCTATTCCTGAGAGCTATATACAGGTAGATTAAAGCCATATACAGGTAAATGGTAACTATGACAACGAATGATATACATTGTTTGTCTATAGTATAAATATCTGTAATCCCGGTTTGTATAAATCAAGGGAGAAGACGTTTAATTCATATTCTCCTTTCAATGTAGTTTTATCCTCGCTTCATTACTCATTTGAATGGGACGACAAATCGTGGTCCCGTGTAAACATTTGCATGCACGTAAAATAACCTTTGCCAGTTGGAATTTGAAATACGAGTACATAGGTCGAATAGGGCAGGAAACTAGAACGTTAAATCCCATTTCATCCTCGCTTCATTAATCTACAAAAGTATATCCTGTCATTTCTAGCTTATAAATTTGTTTATCGAGTGACAGTCTTGTCGCTGTAATTTCTTGAATAACACCCCCCCTCCACACACACACACACACCACCACCACCACCCCACCAATCTGGGTGAGATTATTGCCCTCTTTAGCCACCACTCCCACCCCACCCCCAGGAAGTCGACTATGGACGTATATGGTAATCGACAACAATCGGTGTTGACAGTGAACCATATAAACTGATTTCACGTAGCATCAAAAGACGACTTTGAGCTGTGAATGAATATGTATACGTCAATGTATACACGTTACCCTGGTTTTACGCTCCATCCGAAGGACTAGACACTGTGCCCAATCCTCCCGCCTTCCTGCAACACTGACGCATAATAATTAGAATAACTATGCCCTTAGGTTCTACTTCCTTTATACAGTATCCACGTTTTTTTTTTAAACAAAATTCTTATTCAGTAAATATCTGAATTTGGATTGGGGAACAGACTATGCCTAATTAGATACATGTACACAATATAAATATAAAAGCATATATACATAAATAAATATTGAACATATAGGATACACATAATAGAGAATTTAGAAACAAAAATTGTAGAAATTTTAATAGGTAGAAATGTATTCTAAAAATAGTGTTTCGTATTATATGTGTAGGATTAAGCACGAGACTGAGGTTATGCTGGGGAAAGAAAGACTGAAGAAAATAACCCGAGAAAAAGAAAAACGAGACAGGCAGGCCGAGATTTTTCTGACGAAGGTTTTTTCTGAAGTCTTTCTTTCCCAGCATAACCGAAGTCGAGGACTTTATCTTGCTTATAAACCGTCTATGTTTACATGTACGCAAGATGAGAATATCCCAGAATTCACGCAAGAAAAAGCTCATATCATGTTTTCTTATGGAAAAATAAACCTACCCTGGAAGAATAACCCCGTTACAGGTTTAAAGAAAAACTTTCAGAAGAATAACACCAAATTTCCCTGTATATATTCAAAGCCGCCCCCGACTTTCAGACCTCAAGTTATTCCGGACATAGAATATACCCCAAAGATCAAAGAGATTTACCGTTACAGGTTTATAAGGTATGGTAAGGTCCGAACAGCGTAATATCATCTAATACCTCCATATCTCACAGTCACAAACCAGTTGAGAGAGGCGAGGATATACGATGATTGTACGGTGTGAAGGGCTGAAAATGACTAATATGGATTTGTATCTTTGTGAAATATGAATAAATTGTTGCACTTCTTGGAAAATAAAATGTGTTGTATGTTAAGGCCTACAATAGACAACTCATCGTTTTATAATTATATTAAAGGTTTTGGGTTATCTGTTTTCTTGCATCAGAATGTAAGGGGCATACGAGTAAATAATGTTCGGGATCTTCGAAGTTGTTACCACAGAGACAAGCCGGGCTATCATCGACGTGTCTGAGGAATTTATAGCCTGGTAGATTTGAGCAGGATACTCTTAGTTTACAGGGGATTTTATTTGTAATTTTCTTTTTCCTAGATAGTAATATGGTGGTGGCACGATGATATCTAACTTCTTTAGTGAATTTCCAAAGATAGCAAGTGATCGAAAGTTTCTAATTTCAACGTCAAGTTTGTTCCATTCTCGTGTACTTGAAGGGATGAAGGACTCGGAGAAAATTTCGGTACTGCATCTGGTTTCCTTTAGTTTATCTTTGTTTCTAAGGGTATAATTGTTCGGGGTAGAGGACAGTTCTAATAGGTCAGAGAGATATGATGGAACGAGGTTGTTAATAATTTTATACATTAATTTTAATTTATGAAGTCGACGTCTTTCCAAGAGTGGAACAAACCCAGTCGCTTTATAGGGTAAGGCATGGCTGGTACCTCTAACTGCCCCACAGATAGTGGAACAAACCCAGTCTCTTTATAGAGTAAGGCATGGCTGGTACCTCTAACTGCCCCACAGATAGTGCGCAGTGCATCTAATTGTAGGGATTCTAGTTTGTCAGCGAAGTAATCACTGCACCCATCCCAGATAATATCGACATAATCAAAGTGTGGAAGATAAAAGATCAGTATATTGTTTTTAAAGATTTTCTATTCAATCGATATTTTAGAGAGCGAGGCCAATTTACTTTATTTACTATGCTATATATGAGTTTATTCCATTTACAATTATGATGGAGAGAGAGAGAGAGCAAGAGAGAGAGAGAGGGGGAGATGGGTTTAACGTCCACTCGACAAGAATCGAAACCACGCCAGTTGACTCAATGACAGACCTTGTGATGCTACGCGCACGTCTTACGGCGAGTTCTTGGCGTGCGATGCACGGAACAGGGTATACAACTAGAAACATCAACGCTGATTGATTAATCAATGTCTGAGGTCATAGGTCAAAAGTCGCTCCCGCGACCCCTGTCGACACTTTCCAGCACAACCGGTCATATCTTCATGTAGTGTAGGCCATCGAAAGTATAAAAAAACCAAAACGAAATATAGATGTGTATTTGAATCAGATTGTTTGTATAGAAGCAGCATGTGTTTTAGTAATGAATTAATGAGTTTCCACCCAGTTTTTGTTCCAAAGGTTTTTTTGTACAACTATTTGTTTTATCTATTTTGTCAAACTAATCTCTGTAGCCTTTTTTTCTGATTAAGTCTATGTAATCATTTCTAATTTTCGGAAAGTTTTTTTCCGATCAGAGACTAATATCTTATGCAATGCTTTTTTATGTATTCTATTTTTGTTTTGTTTTGTTTTTTTCATGCTTCTTATTGCGCAAGTCATCCAGGGTTTATCATATTGTCACTATTTTGCTAGGTATATATTTATATTTTTTCATATCGATGAGCGAGTTGGTAAATTGAACCCACCATGCTGCTACATTTCAACTATTGATAAGACCATGCCGTTTAGTAGCTATAACGTCCCTCTTTACGCCCTCATGGTTTGAGTTTGACTAATTCCACACCGTTGGCTTAAAGCTGCGTTATTCAATACCATTGGCTTAAAGCTGCGTTATTCAATACCGTTGGCTTAAAGCTGCATTATTCCATACCGTTGGCTTAAATCTGCGTAATTCTATACCGTTGGCTTAAAGCTGCGTTATTTTGTTACGTTAAATGATAGTCTGCAATATACTAATCAGTAGATAAATTATCAAGTACACTATTTTCAGTTGTTCTTAGAGCTGGTTAATATCAAATCTATTAAATAAGTTTGGTTTTTATGGAGTAGATTTATTTATCAGCGGAGTACGGTCGAATATATTAATCACACCGTGAATAAAACTTTTAGATATTTTTAATATATCAATATTGAAGTCACCTAAAATTATACATTTGTCCAAGGGGTCGGTTACAGCGTTTTGAAGAGAGTTAAATATCTGTTGGTTTGTACTAGAAGTTGATGAAGGTGGTCTATATTAATTGCCAAGTAAAAAAATGTGGTTATTACTATTTACTTCTATTCATATAAACTCTATTTCATTCTTTTCTAAGTCCAATCAGACTAAAACACAGATCCTATTTCGTGTCGTTTTTTATAGTTCAAAATTTCGTTTTACTTGTCTTCGCACCACAACACTAGGATCTGGAAAAGTTGTTATATAACAGGCGTTCTAATTGATGTGAGGAATTGCAATGAAACGGTCTGTTACGGCGAGTTCTTGGCGTGGGATGCACGGAACTGTAAATAAACCCCTAGGAACGCCAACGCTGATTGATTAATCAATGTCTGACGTCATAGGTCAAAAGCCGCTCGTATGACCCCTGACGCGACCCCC